CAGGGGGCAGAAGAGGGAATGAGGGGGTCAGGACTGGACCTGACAGGGGGTCATGGGTTCATGTCTCCTCTGCAGACGATCAAGAATAAAAAGCAATGTCATACCCTCGCAGGCTGACCTGATACAAGTCCTCAAAATCCTCAAGGACACTGACCAAGTCAACCCAACAGACATGTTTTTTACAGACATCAAATTCTCCTCCCCACTGAGAGCTGGTGTGTGGGGAGAGGACTGGCGCACTATGGCTGCTGTCACATCATCCAGGTGGGGCTGCACACTGGTGGTGGTGGGGGGGATCCCCATTACCTGTAAAGCGCTTTGAGTGGAGTGTCCAGGAAAGCACTATGTAAGTGTAAGCAATTATTATTCATTATCTTCAGAATGAGCCAGAATGTAAGCTACAGGGCAGCTTGTTTAAAATTGAGAAGGGGGGGGAGGGGGGGCGGCACTACTTTACACAAAGGGTGGCAGGAGCATGGAACAAGCTGCAGAAGCCAATACCCCGGTTTCTTTCAAGAAACAGCTGGATGAGATCTAGAGCTCAAATAGCTAGCTCACAACCGAACGGACTGCACGAGTCGAAGGGCCCAGCCTGGGCGACCCACTGAGGTCAGCGGTCGCACGGCTGTCGCTCCTGGGAAGCTCTTTCATCTGTGTCTCATCCCTCAAGGACTCAACACTGACCCACTTGTCCGAGATTAAAAAATGAGCTGAACTCTCCACCTTACACAGAAGCTTACGTACACGAAATTAATTTGTATTGAGATTATTACAATGCCTATGATATAACGTATGCAACCGCTTTAGAGACGTGCAGACAAGAAATGTGCGTGTTGTTGTCTTTACCGATTACTGAACCGCCGATATACAAAACAAAACAATTACCGAACGCCCAAGAGCCCAGCCCCGACTGGCTGACCTTGCATTGCTTTCTCCAGATCAGAAGACATTGCTTTGTGAAACCACTCCTCTTCAATCGCTGTTTGTTTTCTCCCAGCTGGCCGCCCGGTCCCCGCGCTGTTGCTTTCTTATCTCGCGCCACAAGTGTGACGTCACATCCGCCCTGCGCCCTGAGGGTGGAACGGTACCGTAAAATCTAGAGTAGTCGACGTTTAGGGGGTATGTACCGTAAGTTAATGAAAAGACGCCTCCTAATAGGAAAATTTCAAACAATTGGTTTGCATTCGTGTAGGAAGGGACCCACTTCATCCTTCCCTGAAGTGCAGCCCCACCTTTACTGACATACAGCAGCTCCACTGCACACAGGTCAGCAGAGGAGAGAGACACAGCAGCACCGACTGAATTAAAGGGAAACTATACCGTCCAGAGTTGGATTCAGCCAGGACACCTCCACTCTTACTGACAGTGTCCTGGGAAGTGTCCTGTGTCAGACAGGGAAGAGACAGGCAATATGCTCTGGAGAACCCTTCATCTCCAAGCTCGTGAGCAGAACCACTGACTGCCCACTGTAGAGCTGTCCCGGGACAGGACAGAGACAGAGACACAGAGGCCAGGCCTAGAGCTGTCCCGGGACAGGACAGAGACAGAGACACAGAGGCCAGGCCTAGAGCTGTCCC